GCAATGGGCAGTATGCAAAACCAGAAGCGGAGGGTGAAATGAAATTCGCAATCGGAAGGAAGATGCGGATGGCCAGCCTAGAGATGGGAGACATCAGATTTGAAAATTCCTAAAATTGCGTGAAAAGAGCTGGAAATACTTGTACATTCGAAAAAATCAGAACCATGAATACCGTCAAGGAAAAACACCATCAGATTTCTAACGGGCTTTTCCTAATTCAGCTACTATCGGAAATGTAATAACTAGAGTGATCTCGAACCTCTAACCTTCTCTCATAGATTGAGTAGATTACTGATGACTTCTTCCTAGAATTCAGGAGACTGCTACTCAAATGAGCAGTCGACATTTTCAGATTATAAATTGCGAACGCTCTTCAACCAAAGTGACGTCTAGGTAGGACGGAGCAAATAGTCAGAAAATGCAACTCAGTGAAGTACGGTAGATGAGCAGCTTGAAGCTAGCCGGGCCTGGCAACTTATTGGCAAGTCCTCAAAGCAAAACTCGCTTTGTATTGCTTAGATAAACTTGGAATTGTTTTCAACGCTTTTTCTCACCATGTTGTCATTGGCAAGGGTTGATCGGGCATTAACTGTGACTATCTCACCTGCGTTCAGCAAAACATAGAAGACATAGGTCAACATAGGTCCATTCATATGCCAGCGAATGGAGAGAGGATGTTTGCATTACTTCAAGGGCTAGAACTGCCCACAGCGAAGCTTTTTAACTGTCATTGTAGAAGGGCGAACAGTGCTTCAAGCAAATGTGTTGGGATAATTTCAGCCATTATAAGTGCTCATCATCAGATTAAACGAGCCGTAATTTGAGGGAAATCAGAGGAGAGCCAAGTGATCATAGGTCGTAGCGATGGTGTTGTTATTGGCGCTCCTGCTTGATCCTGTACCAGTTGGATGTATGGCTCAGCAAATAAAGGGAGTAGGGAAGTTGGGTAGCCGAACAAGTGGGTTGCCGTAACCATGCATCAGAAGCTCCAACCGGGGCTTAGAAGGTGGGTTTCATGGCTGCCTAGTGCTCTCGACAACAAATATGTTTTACAGTTTGTATAATTTAGTGAGATATCCTATTTCGTGGTGAACATTCACGAGAGTCGCATTCCAACAGAAGAAAATTATTTATGGAGATAGAGCAGAGTTACTTCTAAACAAAGGGAAATGGGAAATGGTAGAAGCTGAAAAAGATGGAAGATAGTGAATCTACGTAATATTTCGATTAGCTGGCAATTAACTGCGGAATCCTGATCATTGTGATTGAGAAGTTGGATGTACCAGCGGCAGGAAAATAACTACCTTCGGTGATCGCAAAAAGCCTTCAGCAGCCCATGAAGCAAAGGTCACCGCAACGACGTGAATGCTCCTCAACGGAGTGAGTGACGACGTGCGAAGGGGAGGCGAAGGCACGAAAACACCTACGACGAATATCTCGAAAAGGCGAGAGCGCAGCAGCGCGACCAGCTTGATTGATGCGCAGTGCTGGTGCCTCAAATAATCATACCTAGGGAAGAGCTAATTGTGACAAAACGGAAATTAGATGCAATAGGTGATTCCCGATATAGAATGATAACAAAAGAGCACCCTTGAAAGCCCTGTTTCATTTTGTGGACTGCCCATTGGTCAGAAAAAAGTTGAGTTCGAAAATTGAGTGATGAGATTAAAGAAGGGCTGGTGTTACAATTGAACGACGAGTAGGGATGATACTGCACCATCTTAACCAGTCATTTTTTCTTGGAAATGAGAGAAGTTCAAGTTCTTCCAGGTGTGGAAACTGAAGAAAAATGCGGATTTTGTTTTGCATCTATCACACCATCGACTTTCTGCCTTACTTTTCCATCACTAAGTTAGAAAATTCGGAATGTTGTTCATTCATTCATGCAGCATGACAGAGTTGAGGCATGCTATTCTTAACAGACCGGAAGAAGTGTTCGAATGGAGGTACTTTAATTTTATGCATGAATATGAGTGTGAGTTCTCCAACAATATTCTGTGCCTCAGTCCAAGGAAGTTATTACAAAATATCCCCCGCCTTCTAAGTTACCTTTCTACCTAATCTCTATTGCTTTAGAACTATCACATTACAGTAAGAAATGTACTGTATTCGCGAGGGTCCACATAGCAATTCCGCAGGTGATGTCTGCTCTGCTTTTTTGATTCTTATCGCCGTCGCTGTACTTCGCGTTTACCATTCTGCATCATCACCAGCATTTCTACTTCCCAGGAGGTGAATGCGATGTGCAAGAAGGCGGAGTCCTCAGCATCGAGGTGGACGATTTTAGCCGAGCAGGCGGCGCTGCGGAGCCTGTCCGTGCCATGTCAGTGCTTCACTACAATTGTGCCCGCATAAACTCCCATCGCAACCTTTGCTCAGGTGATAGGATGACGTCAACTAGGCCGATTATTGTGTGTGCTTCCCACGAGTGAGGTGGACCCCAGAAAACTGCTTGACAGTGTTCAATCCTAGCATTCACGAGGAGCGATGTGTTTGATTGCTCTCCCGGAGAGTGGCTGAATACGAGCGGCGGTCTGCATTACTTGGGGTTAGACAGCCTCGATTCTATTATGAAACTAATGACAATTGTTTTTCTCAAATGGACGATTCTGGTAGGACTTTAGCATTAATGTAAGCGTGAAAAACAAAAGGAGTTGAAGAGTAAGACGAGTTCCTCACACTGGAAACCAAAAAGTATTCATTATTGGAATGTCCTTGTAAGATGGATTAGAAAGTACTGCGCGTCTTTTTTAATTTACAACAATTATTTGCGTGCAATAGGATGTTTTACAATTGTACCTGAGGTTATTCGCTCTTCAAATGTGTATCCTGAATGAAACAAAGAGTTTGAGAAGATAAGCATGTTTCGTTGGGACTGGCCTTTGTATATGTAATATCTGTTCGAAAAAACCTTCACTCAGCCAGAAAATTTTTATGTACTTTTTTACACCACATCATATTTTTGACCAACTTCATTTGCGTTCCGCAACCGCGTTATCCGTTCCGCATCCGTTTATTCATGAAGGAGGACTCATTAGTATTCCTTTGCAATGGTCTTTGAACCTCCCCTCATACCGGCGTTCGCTGGCTGATCTGCCACACGCTCGTTAGTTCGACGACAACGCGACCAACGAACATCGCGTGTCCAATGAACCATTTGCATTTTCTTATAGTAAGACATGAAAAAGAACAAAGAGCAAATAAAAAGCACATCACATGCTACAACAAAATAGGATCGATGCTGGTTTCTTTTGCTACTGCTCCGACATCAAGCGACCAGAGATACTGTGAAGAAGTGCTGAGTTCCTCGTCGAGCTGGGAGGGTGAGCCCGGCAGCGTTTTCTGTTTAGGAAAGTCACTTCTCGTTAGCCAAAATTGAAGAATAGGTTACTCAGCATTGTGAAGGCTTTATTTTGGTAGTTAATTTTTGGCTAATCAAAACGACCAGCTTTCTCGAACGTTAAACAGCCGAATAAAAATTTGCGAACAAGCTTACAAATCGCAGACCTCATCTCCTCAACTATAGAGGTAGGAGAAGTAGTTAAGATGATAATCAGTGAGCCGGTATAGCCGGCCGATCCTCAGGGCACCAAGGGCACAACACACAACTAAGCCTAATATATGACCGGAACACCACAAAAGAGATAACAGTCAGCCAGTCTACCATGGATGGCTTTCGCGAAAGACAGAAGCGAATGGTTTGTTGCTGGTGCTCGCACATAAGTGAAGACGAACCGTATAGGTAAAGATCAAGTTACCTGGTATAAATCAGTGGTACAACACAACACAACAACAGGGTTTTTTCATGGTTAAACGGCTCCAAGCGGTCGCAATGGTCATTAAAGTGTGCCGAGAAGTCCGAATGCCTCTTTTCCTTACCTCTGTTTACTATGAAAAAGCTTTTGACAGCGTCAAAACGAATGCGGTCCTATCAGCACTGGTCGATCAATTTGCGGACCCTAACTACATGAGAACACTAACCGACTGCAGCAACCGTCGCTTCGGTGCGACGGTGAAGCTGCTAAATGGCTCAGCGACATCGAGTCAGAAATGGCAAGACAGAAATAATTGTCGGAAGCCATGCGCCATGCGCACCGATGAGTATAAGTGTGGAAAATTGCAACGGTTCATAAGATTTATTGCTCAGAATTCACGAGATCTGAAGAAACAGGAGGAGGAATTAAGACGAGAACATTTCGAGGAATTTTGAATTTCGAAGAATTTCGAAAAGGAAGGGAAAAAAGGTTGAGTTCGAGTTGAAACTATACTTGTTTGAACTCTGAAAGACATTTCTCGGTGCCCTGAACTCTACATCGAGGGAGAAACATGACCACACAATCTCAGCTCTACTGCTATGATATGATCTCCCCCCCCCCCTCCCCACTCCTCTCTCTCCCCTTGATCCCCTTGAAGTATGACTTCCACTCACACAGGTAGCAAGCAAATTGAGAAAACAAGGACTACTACACTGCAGATTAAGTTTTCCTCACAACTTTTTTCAGTGACTAACTTTTCCATGAGGTTTTCGGTGGATCATCTATTCACCCGCAACACGATGAGCTTAAAACTGATCGAGATCATGGTAGAGCGGACAGGTAATATTCAAAATTATATTGATGACATTGCAAAAAAGTTATAGACAATCTAAAGACAACTAGATGAGGAGATCAACTGTTTATCTAGAAAAGATTCTGAAATGAGAGTAGTGCTATAGAAGAAGTAAGTAGGAAATATCATTCCGAACTCGAACTCTCCATAGCTTCCGTCTGATTGGGTTACTGAATTTTCACAAAGAAAAAGCGTTGCCATGTGGAATCACCGCCGAAACAGATAACTAATCAGGTAAGAGTATGCGCCTTTCGAGGCTTTCTTAGTGTATTGTGATCGCAATGGCCGCACATTGCAAGATAACTAGGGTAAAGAAACTCTATTCATATGCGCATCAGTGGAGGTAGAGGATGAAAAAGTCATCGACAAGCGTACCATCCACTGCAGTTGCATCATTTACTGATGATATCGCATGCTTTAGCTGTGCCAAGAAAACGGAAATCTCGAGCTCCTTTTTCTTGTTCTGAGGGAGGGCCTGATTGTTCTCTCTTGCTAATTTGTTCCTTTGTCCATTTTGCACAGAGACTTCGGAGTTCATTTTGAGCGACGAATGCGGATGTTTCAAATTTCTGAAAAGTTTCAGTCGAAGTAGGAACTTCCGACTTATGCAACGCAACTTACCGTAATCAAATACATTCTCCACAGAGCCCATTTTAACGGTTCAACTCTGCTACGTTTCCGCAAAACTCGTGCTTCCTGATGGATCAAATCTACTATGAAAACGGCTGCCATATCTGCCCATACAGGAGCTCGTCCAACTAAGTCAACGTCCCACCATTTCCTCTCCTGAAAATGAATGTAAGAAAAAAAGTGGAACTCTACACATACGCACGCTTCAACACACTTTTCTCTGGCGAGAAGGTGTTTGGCACGGGAGAAATGTTCAGATCTCAGTGTTTACGTATGTATGCCACTACGAGTGCCGAAGCCGATGAGCAGGGACAGATGGTTTGTCGAAGCCATGTTCCCTCCTACGTGATAGTTTGGGTTGTAATCTGTGCCATCAGACCGATATCGCTTAACTTCACCGAGAGAATTATGAAGACCGAGGGCATCTTCATAAGGCACATTTTTGGGGTGCTGCTGAAAGTCTCGAAGATTATCTTGAAGGAACTATTCGAAGCCTCCGGAACACCTTCCTGCTCCTGAGATTTCTTGCTTGGAACACGATCAAACGCTGAGACTGAGAAAAATTCACGATTTTATCTTTGCTTCCGATCGACCTACGGATCCCTGGGACCGCGATCCAGTGGACTGATGGGTATGGTGCATACTAGAGAGAGAAGTCTGCGAAGTGAAACACGTCACAAATGCTGCTCAAGCTCGAGCCGATATTCATAAAGAAATTTTGCGTGATGCCGGAAATGAGTACTCGAAGCGTCTTCGAGCTATTATGATGTGCAGGTGACGGTTATAGTAACAGTGATAACACTAACAATACGAATTTGTTGAAGGAACTATGAGAATTTCCTAGTAATAAGCATTACCTAAAGTACCGCCTATTTTTTATTTTCGTCTTTGTTCAGTTATACTGGACATTCAATATACATTTCTTTGTCCACTGACCCTAAACCTCAGACGAGCCTCAGGGGGAGGTGAAAATGGTAGTTCGCCTGGTGTTGGGGCGAAAGAAGCCATCTTTCACTTCCTTTCAAATACGTGTCACTGTATTGCGTTTAAACATACTGCTTAACAAGTTCCACTAATTAATTTCATATACTTTACCTATATTAAATGAACGTACGTTCATTTTGTTGAAGCGATGCATTGTGAATAGTTCGCATAAATTCATTATGCATCAACACAAAACGCAGTTTCTGTAACTCAATTAAAGTGTTACCATTTTATGGCGCACCCTGTACGCATGTGCAGGAAACGCTCGAAGAGAACACCTACAAAAACGCCCAAAATCATTGAGTAAGGAGGCCATAAGTGACGCCAACAGCTACATATACAGATGCTTCTCGAATAAAGCTTATAGAGTCATAGAAACCCACCATCAAAAGTTCATCATGATAAAAAAAANAAAAAAAAGCGTTGAAAAATCTACGAGTACCTTATTGGACTGCGATGCTGGTGGCCCATACGATAAGATAGGATCGCCTTCGAAAAACCTCAAAAAGATGTGTGCACAGAAGAAGGCTAGTTTGAACAAAAAGGTTAGAACAGTAAACCATTCAATTTCCCTCTTTTCGAGACTAGTGCTATGAGATATTTTTGCCACCTTTCTCCTAACGACAACATTTTCACGAAGCTTTTCACTTTCCCACGTTAGCCTGACAATTTGAATCATGTTTTATAAGCTGTGCTACCCACACTGACGTGTGCATCACAATTAAGAAAGCTTCGAAAGAGTAATGGATTTTCTCGGTTGAGCTCCTTCCTTCCCGCATCTGGCCTATGGTCCGTGATGGAATCGAACTCTGAAATTACCTGGAAGGTACAGCACTGCATGTGAATCTCCTTCATCCCATTTGTTTATCCATCCTTTACCTTGCCCTATCCCCCGGTCTAATCTTCCCTGACTTCACGTGTGCAGAGCTCTACTGAATTTACACCTGCTCCTTTCATATTCCCCTATTCCACACCCATGCGAAGTTGACCAGACCTCTTACGATGCTTTGTCGGGTGATAAAGGCTCTCTTGATAAAAGCCAGGCAGATGCGGAATCTCCATACACATACAGTGAAATGATGAATTCATGAATGGTGAGTAATGATCATGATTCTAAAACGTTCTTGAAGAGAGTTATGAATTTTTGTGAAAAGCTCATACTACGTGAGAGCACGCCCCACCGTGGGCGCACCCTCTACTGTCTTGTGCCTAGCCCGCTAGTCAATGGAAACGAATTATGAATTTGTGTCGAAAGTACAGCAGACCTCGAGAACGCTCCGCTCACCGCGTAAAAATCTGATTTGTTTACCTATTACTCACCATTGTCCATTTTTCCCAGTGCCTCGGTTTTCTGTCAGAACTACCCATTCTGGTGCATGCCCTGCCCCTGAAGGAGAAGTTCAGCTGAGCTCATGTGTGCCCTGTTGACCTTGCTTGGCAGAAAGACTATCAGACAGACGCGGGCGCTTCGCGTGTAGCATGGTTATGGTTGGACTTGCTTACTATTAGCGGCTGATAGCAGTTCCGACCGATATCGAGAAGGTGATCTGGCTGAATAGCAACACGAATAAACAAAGAAACTTACCTGGTAACTGTGTCCTTAGAGCGACAGATGCGAATCAAAACAAAGAGCAGTTTCAGAAACTAAATTGGTGCTTGAATTGGAAAGAATCCTCACCTGTAAGCACGCTGTTGGTCCATAAATCGATCATAGAGCAGTGCACCAACCGATGTTGTCACAGTGGATTCTCCTCGGGTCATGGCTGAGACCTAATATCAAACATGTCTTAAACTTACTGTATACAATGAGTTCAAAGCTACAAATTAAATGCTAACTGCACAGTGATTGAGGGATATTGGAGTGATCTAAAACAAATTTTTGGCTACGATATTGATCAAGGAAGGAGGCGCGAAATTTAGAGATTGCCACTGCAGGTAAGTAGAAGTATCAATTGCTCATAAATTTGCCGACTAATTTGGTGGCCACAAGTCATAAAAATAGATATTAAGACGGCTCCATATCCAACTTGGTATGTAGAATACCTGTACGAGCTGTACAGCAAGTTTATAACCCCTTACGGAGAGGATTGACAGGTGAGAGCCACCCACAGCAAATTGGGAAAAGGAACCAAACACCCAGGTATTTTGCGATTACACTAAACATTGTAGAAAGTAATTACCGTGAGTTAAATCGGAGTTGTCAATATTTTTTCCACTAGAAGACATCACGTGACACGGCTATGCTATGGTGGGAGGAAGGAAAACGGCTCGAATTTATTGTTCCCACTGCATGTGGAAGTTCCAGCATCACCCGTATAACGGCTACAAGGGGAAAACGAGAAAGGATCTTTTATTGGTATATGACAGAAGGGACCTGGAGCCAGAAAAAGTAGAATAGAAGAGAGAAACGTGATACGCTGATAGTGATCCTCTCCATTTCCCTTCCAACGAAAAAAGTGCTGCCGACCGTCACGTCGTGGGTGGGGCCTGGTCGAGAACCTATCTCCTTCTTCATTACCAAATCTACTCCATTACTTTCGTGAATTCTTTCCAGGTTGCTCCGTTCACTACCGACGTGCCCATTCAAATAACGCGCCATGGTGGGGCAGTTTCCTCTGGAACTGATCTTACCAGGGAAGGATCCCAACTCGAAGTGGCCATTTGAAATAAGACCT